TCTTTTATGCGAATAAATTGTGACGTGCTGTAGAATGAACATACTATAGAGACGAAAGAAAGATAGCAATGAAAGAAGGCAATTCAGCCAATCTTGCACTGGGAGTTGACGGATTGGTTGTAAGCTTCTGTTTTCCATCTTCATGTTAATTCCACTTGTATACCCAATCCTTGCGCGGGTGTAAATCCGTAGTGCCGAGATGAACTGGTCAGTGCTTTTCAGGATTTTGAAGACCTAAATCAAGTCCCCACACAACTTCTATTCGAGGCTAAAGAGACTCAAAGATACTTCCCTTAATTCGCATATGACATCCTAATCCGCACAGAAATGAGTCTGGCTGCTTTCCTTAGTACTGCCTCTAGAGTGGCAATATCTTCCCTGTAAAGTAGTGACCAATCAATACAATATTCCAAGTGATGTCTAAATAATGTAGTGCTTCAATAAAAAAAAATCTTCCTTTAAAATAAATTCTATGCTCTTTATAACACTTCCAAGGTATGTGAACTGTAGGGATTACTGCAAAGTGATGAGTCAACAAAGTCTTACAGGTTGCTCTTACAATCCTTTTTCTAGATCAATATTACCCATATGAAATGCATGTTCTTGCTTGCTGCATGCAATACCTTATACTGTACATTCAATTTAATTTACTGAGTGTCTGCACAGACCTTGATTCCATCTCCACAAAATCCATCTATCTTTTGACTCATCTGCAGATGTGATAAGCTATATACTTTATACCTGAAATCTTGATCTCTGCAGATTCTGAGAAGCAATGGACCTAAAACTGAATTAGGAGGTATCCAGAGAATGGCCATTCAACCTGACTGAGTTGCTAGTACTTATTCAAGGATTCACAAATTGATTCAAGCACTGAATCCCAGACTTTCCTGAAGAAAACCATGGTTTCAGTGTTTCAGTTTTCAGCTTTGAAAATGGCTCATTCATGACTCGTACAGTCCCCTGTGTAAAACAAAAGTTCCTTCTTGTCTCAGATTTAACATAAGCTGTGATAAGTACATAAGAAAGGTTACAAACGACTCATCTTGCCCATTTGGTACTAAGTATTTAATTGATCCAAGGATCTCACCCAGCCATGTCTTGAAAGAAGTTAAGTATCAGTTTAAAAATTATTTTTGGATGGCTTGTTCCACACACCCACAACCTTTTGTGTACAGAAGTGCTTCCTAGTCCTAGTTTTAAATACACTTCTATATAGTTTCTACTTATGCCTTGTGGTTTATGTCTTGCTGTTCATTCTGAAGAAATCTGCTGAATTGTCAAGGCCTTTGAGGATTTTGAATAATCTTGTAATCTCTGCTCAAAACTAAAAAGGCTCAGTTCCTTCAGCCTGTCAGTATAGTTGCTCTTCTCTACACAAATTCTAGAGCAGCAATATCTTCTCTATAAAGCATATCCTTGTGTGGGTATCCTTGAAAGAAGACAAATACATTTAAATTTGTTAACAGTGTAGGAGTTGCTTTATAAATAAATCTAAATTACGAATTTTTATTTTCCCTGTAATTAAGCCTTCATCCCCTTTGGGAATTTTATTTTTTGAGTCTGATAGGCTCACACATATAGTTTACAAGTTGATTGCATTTTGGAAGGGTCTAGATTTTGAAAGAACCGTCAGGGCGATTATCTGCTTATTCAAGAAAAACAGCACCATTCTTTTTTCCCAGAGTGAACTGGTAGATCTAATTTTAACATCAGGCCCATAAATTTGAATTTCTCAAAATCGTTCACTGGAGTTTGGCAGGATGCCTGAACAAATAGGATCTAGTTCCAAACTGTAGTGATCCCCACGTTTACAAAATAAGTTTGGTAGAATGAGAACCGTCAACACAAGATGAGTTTAAACGGCTGCAATACTTTTTGACTGCAATAAGCGATTCCCAGTACAGACCTAGAGATAACCAAAATGGGGGGCACTGGGACCCCCGTTTCATTCCAGCTGCCTGCTGCACTATTCTTTACGTGAGAGAGTTTGTCTTTCTGGCTGAACAGATCTCTCCCTTGTTTCACTGAAGACTAAATGAACGAACCTCTGAATCTCCATATAGAAAACAAAGCAGCTCGATTTTAAATTAATGATTTAAACACATCTAAATTTGTACGCTTCTAAAATAATTTAATTATTAGTGTTATATTTTGCAATGTGTCTTGTTCTTCCACTTTATTCGAATTGATATATTTTAATAATCACTTTAAACTAAATTTAAACTGAACTTCCAGCTGTCCACTGATGGATGTCAGAGCAACATAAAAAATCAGGTGCCAAAACTGCCCAAGAGAGCAACTTCAAAAAATTTATTTTTAAGAAATTTGTCACCTTAAAGTTTGTTATGAGTTATGAGGTAATAATATTGAATTTTTCAGCAAAAACAGTGTTAAAATAATTTGACATTGATACTTCGATAAAGTATTGTGCCAGGGAAACACAATTTAATTATTTCATTGGAAAACAACATAAATGTAATTTGCAAAATCGGTTTTCATTTGAATAAAACCGTGGACTTTTGTAATTTCTATGGATTTTGTAATTATCAAGAGTCATGAAAGGGAAAATATGTGGCCTCAAATGTAATCTCTTTTCTTACAAAAGCTTTTTTGCTATGCTCAAAAACATTTTCTGCGTGGCCTTGAAAAATCTATTTACCAAAAATGAAAGTATCCGTCAGACAACTATGTTTTGGAGGCAGCTTCCGTGAACTTACTACTGCACCAGACGCTTACAACAAAAGGTGGATGCTGAATTCCAATACCCAGTGTAGTTGTTATGTTTGGCCCTGTAGCTGAGTGCCAGGGTGAGCTAGAATTTACATTCAGTGCCAGTTACCATGGTAATTAATTTACAGGAGACTCGAAAAACCTGAGGCGGGCCTTGTGGACAATTGCCTCAAGGTGGCACAAGACTCCTGTCAAATTAATTACTGCGGTAATCAGCCCTGAATCACAGGTGACCAGCTACTTCATGACAGCAATACTTCAAAATAATTAAATAGAGAAGGTATGTATTGTTAATGTATGTATTGTAAATATAAACAGTGTGCATTTCATGACTTTTAGCTTACCGGCTGCCATGTCTTCCACGTGGAGAAAAACAGTTATGCAAAGCATGAATCTTCACTGCTCCGTTACAAGTCACACGATCCATAGAAATTTCCAAGAAAACACCAGCATCTTATGAGTTGTCATAGTCTCAATTAAACAAATAAAGCTGTCTTTGTAAAACTATCTTTGTTTCACTTTGTCAGAAAATAAGGCTCAGAGTTTTCTGCTTCAGAATTGAATTTGTTCTAGCTTCCTACCATCAGTGCTCTTTAGACCCCTTTTTCATAACACTAGATAATAGATTAGTCAGTTAACATCAAATAGCCTTCTTTCTAATCATTTACTTGCTTTAAGGGGAACGCATAGCGATTTTTATATTTCGGGGTTAGAAAAAATTAAGTATTGATGAGTGCACTTTAAACCATAATAAAAGTAAAATGCATACTGTAACTTCTAAAACCTCCAATTAACATTAAAACTAGACAATATTCTCAGATATGCGCAGCGCCATATCATGCAATTCAGAACGAGGCAACAAAACTTCCGGTGATGCGTTGTGGCCTTTTTACATTCTAAAGAAGCAGGCCTGTGAATACATCTCTTTTAATCCAATAGAAATATTGATTTAGAGATGGTTTTGCTGACAAATACGACTTACTTGTTAACTCGTGCAGATCACGATGGAACATTTCTGCAGTGAAATGTCTGCTGCACAACCTGTACTTATTCGCTCGTACACCAAATTACATTTAGTCATTACAGAGACTAGTGAGCAGGAAGGGCTGCATCACATCTCAATTTAGGGAACTCTCACTCTCGCCTGTTGCAAGGCAACTCTCGCCTGTTTACCACAACATGGCAACTGACAGTACTTTCACTGAGTTTACAATTTTGTGCTTAATTTGAAATTCGCAAATATTTTGTTACAGAGATTTGATAACTGGTCTGAGAAATGGGGACTGCAGTTCCACTTTAATTTGTTTGATCACCAGGAATTAGACCCGGCATAATCAAAGACCCCAGTTAGCCTGTGAGCGATATGCCACCACTGTCACTGAAATGGTGAAATTCAGTACACATGCACCAAAAGGTCAATGACTACCAAGACCACCTGCATTTTTTACTTCCATGACGAAGTTAGCGACAAAGCAGACAAAAAAAACTTCATCAATGACTCAATCCTTACATTTTCTCACTAATTAAATATTAAAGATAAAATCGTGTGGACCAGTATGGTCCCAGTATGAAAGCTTCTATGCTATAATGGTCGGTATCCACTGCACCAGGAATCTCCTGTCTGATACTTGAGACTCCCAATAAAGCACGTTTCCCAGATCATCATTAAACCACCATTTTCTAAAGGCTTTAAGCAATTATTGATTGGGATCATTTAGGCATCTTATTTATAAATCATTAAATCAATAAGTTAAGTTCAAGTACACTAAGTACTGCAGAAGTGTGACTACCCTTTGGTCCTTAGAGTTATCTTTTAACAAATCTTGCTTATTTCATCAACTACCTACAGAAGTTCCCAATTTTTAATATCAATAGAGAGCAGAAACATGTAAAAACTGCAGAACAATTAAAAGAGGCAAGAAAATGTGCAGACCATCTTGGTGCTTCACTTTTCCTATTAAACAAGGAATTTGCTACTCCATACCTAAAGAGACAGATTTCTACAGGTTTTGCAGTTCTATTTCAATTTATTTCAATTGACTGAAAGCAGAAGGACTTTGTAGCCCTTGAGGGACAGAGGTGCTCCTTCCTCTATAAATAATAGCATTTCAGTTTCAAGCACGCGGTTTTAAGGAGCTGAAGATACCTTGTTGGTGGTTTTTCAAAATCCGCATCCAAGCATTTTTCATAGGAGCTCACAAATATCTCCAGCCATAGCTTCAGGTAATCAGGATCCTTCTGTAAAGAGAAAAAATACATCTCATTCACACAACAGTACAACGATTAATAAAAACATATCCTAAGATTTTTATTTTTTGTGAAATTATGACCTAGAAACTAAAAACAAATCAGACCTTCAACTTGTTAATCAAAAACGTCAAAAAAGTCTTTATACTGAAAACAGCACAAGTGGTTCATTACGTACTGTTATTCTGATGTACAGTTCTTTGTCCCTACAGCTAAAAGGTCTCATTAAGACTTTGACAGCGCAACAATGTTTGTCTTAACTGCTAAGAAAATGGGTACTCATGATGGATACATAATGCACTAATAATGCATTAATAACTTGGAAACTGGTTAGCATTTTATAATTTAATAGAATTATTTTTTAAGTAAACACAGCGAAAAATAATTAGCCACAAAAGTTTTTAGCCTGCACTTTTACAGTTGCCAACTGTGCTTTTTCCAACCTAGACTGTGAACGTTTAAACGATGTGTTCAGTCCTGACAAGAAGAAGTACAATTGTTTGTGTGTTATTAGTTTAAGCAGATTGTGTTTGTCTATTATTGTGACTTAGTTGAAGATCAGGCCACATTTTTATGAGTAATTAATGCAGAAATCAAGGTAATTCCAAAGGGTTCACAAACTTTCTGGCAACTGTATTTGAAAATTCTTATTGCACTTTTCTTTAAAATGATTAGGAGACTTAATATGTAACATCAAAATATGCCTAATTTTTTTTTCTAAGTAGATGCAGAGCCTTTAAATTCAAAACACATAACATCCATCCAATCTCTCAACTCTTCGTCCAATACGGGGTTGCAGGAAGGCCTACCCAGCAAGCAACTGGCACACACAGACACTGAAACGTACACACTCACATCGGGGCCAATTTTCCCAGAAGGCAATTAACCTGACCGAATGTCTTTGGAAGGTGGGAGGAAACCAGAGCACCCTGAGGAACCCCAAGCGAACAAGGGGAGAACATGCAAACTCCACACAGACAGCACCCCAGGAATTGAACCCCAGCTCCCAGTGCTGTAAGGCAGTGAAGCTAATCACTGTGTGACCATGCTGCCCAACCACATAGCATAAAAAACCCTATTTTTAGCACCTATAAAACAGCCCAGGAATAACCAAGAATGGTACATAAATGTCTGTTCCAACACTGCTGAACAAAGATAAAATGTCAGAAGTAATGTTCACTGCCAAAGCTGCTGAAGGAGACGCCACAGAGTAATGGAGATGTACCAGAGAGATCCCTTCTGCATCAAACTTTGCAGGCAATTTTAAAAGATTCAAACAAGATAAGACAGGTGTAACAGGACTGTGCCTGTCTCCAGCCCCATCTGCATACAGCTGCAGCAGATCTCCTCATCAGATTCTTACTTTTCATATCAACAGAGTATATGGTACATCTCACTTCCTAATGACTGCGTGATGCCATAAATACCTCACATTCGGGAGCTGTTGAAGTGGAACATGAGTATTAACTGCGCTGTTACCCCTTTATTGCCTGGTCCTGTCTGTTCTCAGAAGCTAAGCAAGGTTGGGCCTGAATAGTACAGGGATGAGAAGCCTCTCACAGTTGCTTCTGCAAGGGGTGTCAGTGGACAAGCAGGAAAACCTATTTCTTGTGGGGCCATGTTCTCCACATCACTGCCCCACTGTCATGACATGGATCACGGACCACTGTGCTCTAGGAGGTGTCCTTCGGACAAGACGCTGAAACGAACTCCTGATGACTGTCTATCCATCTTCTTAACTCTATCTGCCACGGCAGAGCAGTGGCTCTGTGGCTAAGGATCTGCGCCTGTGGCTGGAAGCTTGCTGGTTTTTATCCTTCGACCAGCAGAGGAATCCTACTCCGTTGGACCCCTGAGCAAGGCCCTTAACCCCAGCTGCTCCAGGGGCGCCGTATAAAAGGCTGACCCTGCGCTCTGACCCCAGGCTTCTCTCTCCCTGTCTGTGTGCCTTTGTGTCTCATGGAGAGCAAGCTGGGGTATGCGAAAAGACAAATTCCAAATGCAAGAAATTGTATAGGGCTAATAAAGTGATCTTATCTTATCCGATTCAGACGTGGAGTCGTGGTGGAGTCTGAGCAGCTTTGTCAGGACAGGATGGGATGGGATGGGATTTTGAAAGACCCCATTACCCTTTTCAAAAGAATAAGGGTGTTAAACCCAATTTCCTGACTACAGATAACTCTGGGCCTGTAGCATCTAGCCTACCTCCCCCTTAGCTCAGTTGGTAGAGCAAATACTCACTTCTCTGCCGAATCTGTTATGTGGTGGGGCTGCTGGTACATAATGGTGAACACTGTAGGGTCCTGTACTACAGTGGAGGACAGACTGTTAAGCACTTATGAATAATAAATTCAAAGAATCAGGTCCCCAGCTTTTCCCAGTTATTAACTGTTATTAACCTTTTACATTAAAATACTATGTATGACATAAACAATCCTGTCACACCCTTATTAAAAGCCATATCTTAATTGCAATTTCAGTGACAGATCAACGTCAGGTTTTCTTCATAGATGAGCATGTCTAGTTTCATACTTGATTAAGTTACCACAGACATGCAGTAATAATGAGGGTTGGATGCAGGCCTTGGATCATGTACCACAAATTTAATTGCTCTGCTCCTCAAACCCGAGTGGACGGACACAATGAAGAGACAGACGGGTCAGGTCCAAAGAAAAAACTCATTTTTTGTAATGTAATCTAATCCTTGCTCTGTGCAGATATCAGGATGAGAAATTGAACTAAAACCATTAGACTTTGTTTGGAAAATTAGTGAAAAATACGCATGAAATCCAGAATGAAAGTGTGAAAAATGGACACACTAAGGGGCAGCACCATAGCTGGGTTCAATTGCAGAGCTGGTGTGTTATCTGTGTGGAGTTTGTATGTTGTCTCTATGTTCATGTGCGTTTCCTCTAAGTGCTCCAGTTTCCTCCCATAATTCAAATAGGAGGAAACTGGAGCACTATATGGGTACTGACTTCTGGGAAAATTGGCCCTGGCGTGAGTATGTTCAAGTCTGTGTTTGTGTCATGTGATGGACTGGCGTCCTGTCCTGTGTGTACCCTGCTTTGTGCCCGCTGCTTGCCGGGATAGGCAACCTTGTGTGGAACAAACTGGTTGGAAGATGGATGGTTGGATGTACAGTAGTACAGTAGTACAGTAGTAGACAACAGGTTTAGATCTAGGCTGCCCTGTGTTACAGTTCCAAACATTGGTTTCAGAACCGATCTTTAACTTTTGGAAGTCTAGTCTTCAAAATATATACAGTCAATCCGTTTCAGTGCATGTCTTTCTAATCACTGTCTAAGTCCCATTTATATTTTCGTGACCATCGGGGTTTGACCTTTTCCATATGGGTTTCAAAACCAAGCTGGGCAAACACAGAAGGTATGAACTAAAGACTGCAGCCATTCAAGAGCTTGCCCACAATGCCCCATTGATACACGATTAGGGTCAACTAGAAAAGCAAACACCAAGGTTTAAGATGGAATTATTAGAAATGACAGGGGGCCACTATCAACCAAATGCAGACAGAATAGGGAGGGTAGGAAAAATTGTGTTAACACAGTGAATAACCTGCTGTCCTTGTATACAATTCAGCCTGCATTGCTCTCTGCTCACCCTGTTTAACTGGTTTCAAAAACTCAGCGCAACACAGAAAGAAACTAACAGATAAGGAATGTACTAAAGGAAACTCGAAAAGCCCCCACCAACTGTGCGGAATTTCAAGTATGACATATTCAACTGCAAAACAAGTTATCCTTTAAGCCAGGTTAATAATACAAAGTGTCAGAAAGGCAAAAAATCATTGTGGCAATCTAGATATGCTATTTAACCCATTACCTCCTATATCATGCATATTGGTTATTTTTCATGGGAGCTGATGCAAAATACCTTATAGGTTTGTAGTATTTAGCAATCTTTGAAATCAAATAAAAGCACATATGTATTAGATGGGTTGTTGTTGCTGTGTGTAAATACACCTTTGTTTATACACAGAGATCCTTCCCTGCATACTATACAAACAGACACACCTGACAACAGCAAACCAGATAGTCCCACAAATGTTGATGAGTATAATAAACTGCCAAGAACTCTCAGAAAGGTAAAAGCCAGGCAACAATACCATTTGGAAAGTGGAGGTGAAGTACACTACAAAAGCTCTGCAAATTAGATGAAGCAGCTGTACTATCTTCTTTCACCTGCATTAAACATTTAATATCCGGCTCTACGCAACATATGTTGCTCAGCGGAATTTCAGTAACCGCGGCGCTACGCAATTGAATCGAATTCCCTTATCATGGAAAAACTAGGCAGACAAGCTTTGTTGGGTATACACACCTGGCCGAGCAGAAACAGGCTCAGCAACATTTGTGGGGTTTTTTTGGCATTAGGTCGCCAAGTTCTTATTAGCCAATGCAATGTTGCATCCTACAGAGACAATATCAAATGAACGCATCAACCGACAGCTTTCATGCAGGGGAACAAAATTGTTTAAGCCAATAACCTTTACGAAATGAGCAAGAGAGGGATTAAAGTAAAACTATTATAAAGTACTAAATCCAAGTGATATTTTTGGACTAGGTAGGCCGCAATATGTTCTGTACAAGGTGCCCACCCTTTCTCCTCCTCTGCGGTTTAGCGTATTCAGAGTGCCCGGCCAAACCTGAGCTAAGAGGATTCTTAAAGCCTCTCAGACCATCTCTGAGGCACAAACTTCGATTCACCCAAACGTGAAACTCAAGAATTTCCCAATCCATCACCCTGATTTGACGTGCCGATTTACATTGATTCTATGGAATATTTTCATTACAGAAAACTGTTCAGTTCTACATTTATTTTGTGACATGTTCTTTTGTTATTTGGCACGCTTCTGTTGATTTGGATGGAGTATTAAGAATACCCCTGGTATATACATTACATGGTATAGGAAGGCTTTCCTCCCCAGTATACACGTTCTCCTTTATCTGTTCAGGAACGTATCCCCTCCG